GTTCTACCCATTTTATAAATGAGGAAGTAGACGGTGAGTGGCATTGCCCAGGAGTATACAGAAAGGCTGCGCAAGAGTGGGGTTGGAAGCATGGCATTCTGATACTACGTCCAGGGTCCTCACAGAGCACAGCCACCAGGCCACAGCATGAGCCATGAGAAGCCTACACTAGGTTTCCTAACCGCCATCTCTCCTGACATTTGTGACTGTTTGGCAGATGCAAGAAATATTTTAGGTCCTCCAGACACTGACCTAGAATAAAATATAGGTGACCAAGGAGAGGTTAAGAAATGTCTACTCTCGGGGCGCCTGAGTGGCTCAGTGGGTTAAAGCCTCTGCCTTCAGCTCAGGTCATGATCCCAGAGTCCTGGGATTGAGCCCCATATCGGGCTCTCTGCTCAGCAGGGAGCCTGCTTCCCCCCTTTCACTCTGCCTGCCTCTCTCCCTACTTGTGATCTCTCTCTGTCAAGTAAATAAACAAAATCTTAAAAAAAAAAAAAAAAGAAAAGAAATGTCTATTCTCACATTAATCTGCACATGTGCACCTTTCCTTCCAAGAATTTCAGTCCCTAGGAGTGGGTGAGAGAAATGCAGGTTTGGGGTACATATGAACAAATTTTCTGGAAAAACATGCGAGTGCAGAATCAGATTTGGGGAAAATGTAGAAATACAAGTCCAGTGCCAAGGAGCCTAGGAGACAAGAACCTGGAGAAGTGAGTGAAGAGAGGCCCAATGATTCTGACCTTGGCAAAGGCAGATCATCTGAGCAGCAAAACGGACCTGTTCTCTCTGCTCGAGTGTTGGCAAGGAAATGAGCCAGGTGTTGCTTTTAAGATTAGCTCTATGACAGGTCTTTACACACTGTGCAGTGTGTAAGGAAATGATCCGAAGCTGGGCAGACCTGGGTTTGAATCTCAGCTAAGATTGATTATCTATCTATCTATCTATCTATTTATTTATTTATTTATTTGAGAGAGATACAGAGAGGGATAGCTAGAGAGAGGGAGGGTGCACATAAGTGGGGAGAGAGGGCAAAGGGAGGGGAGACGTAGACTCCCCACTGAGCAGGGAGCACAACATGAGGCTCGATCGTGGGACCCTGGGATCATGACCTGAGCCAGAGACAGACTTAACTGACTGAGCCACCCAGGTGCCCCTGAATCTGAGCTTTTGCATTTTCTGGCAATGTGCCCTTAGGCAAAGTAAGCATTCTCTCAAGCCTCCCTTTCTTCATCTGCGAAGTGGCAAGAAAACGGATTCTCCCCTAGATGTTCCAGGAGGATGGCTGTGCTGACCGCTTGATTTTAACCCAGTGAGACTCCCTCACACTCTGACCTCCACTTCAGATGTTACATTTGTGTTGTGTTAAGCCACTAAGTTTGTGGTAACTTGTTACAACAGCTAGGAAATCAGTACAGATTTCGGCAAAACAACAACAACAAAAACAATCTCTTGGATTTGTTGAGAGATGAATATAAACGCCTAGCTGAGGGGGTCATAAGCACTCATGAAATGACAGCTTTCAACATCGTTTTGTTATTTTGGAAGACGGGAGTGAATTCCTAAGTTATGTGCCACTGATCTCCTGAGGCCTGAAGGAGAGGAGAATGCACGGGGCAAAAGGAGAAAATTCTAGCTGTCATTGACTAGAGCAGGTCATGCCCATCACCATATCCCTGCCCTTCCTTAAGTCAGCCCGCAGTCAGGCTGCCACCCCAGCACTTTGTACGGCACGCCCGGCTAGATTTCCTCCCTTCATTCTTCTTTTTGCTCAAAGCAACCCCTCATCTACCTCCTCTTTCTTTCCTCCCACTCTTGTCTGCATGGTTCCCCCCAGTCCTGACGGACAACCCTCCCACAGAGTATTCCTTTGTCTCTTTCCCCTTTATAAAACTCGGTGAGGTTGGTCATCTTTGGAAAAGTGTGTTATGAGGCTCAGTGAGACACCGGGACCAAATACCATGTTCAGAGTCCCTTCAACTCCTTTCTGGACCAATAAAGCCCCTCTTTGGTGGGCCTGCCTCCCCTTTTCCTTAAATCCCTAGTCCTGTCTCCCCACTTATTCGACCGCATACAGTCATTTTTGCTTGAATCCACGTTGCTGCAATCTCACTTTAAATTCCTTAAACAACAAATTGCTTTCTTTCTTTTAAACCCAACGAATCAACACAAACAAGCTGCTACCCAGCAAATGGGTGCCTAATCCGTACTGGTCAAAATGGCACTGCCCTTGGCTTCTCCGGGGTTTTGCCCTTTACTCTCTATACTTGCGTTGTCTGAACTTTTGCCTTTCGCCGTCTATTTATTTTTGTCTCTAGATGGTAACTCAACTGGTCGGGAGAAATGTCTGTGCATACCAGTCAAGAACTTTTTGGTTTTTTTTAAGATTTTATTTATTTATTTGACAGAGAGAGAGAGATCACAAGTAGGCAGAGAGGCAGGCAGAGAGAGGGGGAAACAGGCTCACCGCTGAGCAGAGAGTCTGATGTGGGGCTCAATCCCAGGACCTTGGGATCATGACCTGAGCTAAAGGCAGAGGTTTAACCCACTGAGCCTCCCAGGCGCCCCCCAGTCAGGAACTTTACAGTTCCTGTAAAGTTACTGGTCTGGTCACAGGAGAAAAGATCTCCCTTGGTGGAGTTTATGCATTAACCCCTTCATGGCGCTGAGGCTCAGCTCAATCTGGCCTGTGACAGTTACTGCAAACATTGCAGGAAAGAATGAATGCCATTTCTAAGCAGAAACTACACAGTAAGATCTTGTAACAATGGCCTGGTTTCTTTTAGTCACTCAGCAAACATTGATGGAAGACCTACAATGTTCCTAATTCTGGGCGCAAAACACTCATGGATTTTAATTCTTTCCTTTCCCACAGCTACCCAGGCAAACGAGTAAGGGAAAATAGGGAAGTTGAGATGATGTAGAAGGCTGTTAATGCTTAGAATGTAACAATGAAGTTAAATTTTAGCAAGGGCTGAGTCAAGCGGAAGGCTTGCCTTCCATTGATTCCCGATACAAACTGGGATGTTAGCCAAACTGCCTCAGGTATTACCTCATGGTCACCTTGCTCTTCTGGGTCTCTGCTCCCTGACTTTTCCTTTCCCTGGAATGTCGGTGAGCCCCACCTTCCTCCCACACTGCCCTACATCTCTAGTCTACTTATCAAAACCATACACATTCTGCAAGGCTTACATCTTCCCTATTCAGAACTGCCGCAGTACTTAAGGTCTCAATAGATGTAGTAAAGTTATTTAGGAAATATTTTAGCTTCCCTACTAGAGCATAAAATCCCAGACTACCGCAATCTACCTTAGCGACCTTTGATTTAGTATATGAATGCAGGAAGTAATTAGTTGCTTAGATCAATACCACAGTAAGAAATCTGGATGGCTTTTCTGAAGGTATTTTAAGTACAAAAGCTAAAATAATTGACCCAAACACTTACCCTCAAGTACCTTCCAAGACTCCTCAAGGAGAGAGAGGCCCACTTACTTTTAGTACCATACAAAGCACTACACCTCGTAAATAATTTCTGGGAGCCAGTGTGGGCTTGTGGATGAGCTTGGGCTCCAGAGACACTCAGACCAAGGTCTCCAGCCTAGTTCTTCCACTTACTGGTTGCATGACCCCACGGATCTTAAGTACCTAAATTAAAGCTTCAGTGTCCTCACCTGCAGAATGAGGCTCCTCACCTTTTTTTCTTTTTCTACCTCATTGGGCTGTGAGTGTGTGTGTGAGAAGCACGGAGGAGAGCAGCACATGGAAGGATCTATACGCCAGCCCTTCTTCTCCCACTCCCTGCCTGGTGCAACAGGGTACTTTTTATTTTTACTTACTTATTTTTTTTCCAAGTTTTAATTTAAATTCAAGTTAGTTAACGTATAGTGTAGTATTGGTTTCAGGAGCAGAATTTAGTGAATCTTCATTTACATATAACACACAGTGCTCATCTCAGCAAGTGCCCCCCTTAATGCCCATCACCCATTTAGCCCATCCCTCACCCTCACCAACAACCCTCACTTTGTTCTCTATAGTTAAGAGTCTCTTATGGTTTGCCTCCCTATCTGTTTTTGTCTTATTTTATTTTCCCTTTCCTTCTTCTATGCTCCTCTGTTTTGTTTCTTAAATTCCACATCTCAGTGAGACCATTTAATTGTCTTTCTCTGATTGACTTATTTCACTTAGCATAATACCCTCTAGGTCCCTCCACATCAGTGCAAATGGCAAGATTTCATTTATTTTTGATGGGTGAGTAATATTCTGGGGTGTGTATGTGTGTGTGTGTGTGTGTGTGTGTGTAAATAAATATGTATTTAGATACCACATACCACATTTTCCTTATCCATTCATCAGTCAATGGATATCTGGGCTCTTTCCGTAGTTTGGCTCTTGTTGACATGCTGCTGTAAACATCAGCGTGCAGGTGCCCCTTCAAATCTGTATTTTTGTATCCTTTGGGTAAATAAGCAGGATACTTTTTAAATCGCCAACTATTTTTGAAAGTAAAAAATATTCTGATAATAATGGTTTTTAACAGCTGCCTGTAGTCCATATGGGCCCTATCTGCCAACTCTGGCCATGGGTTTGCCTTTTGGGTTTAGGTTCGCTGTGACCAAGAACAGGAAGAGCCATGCCAGGACCACTGCCCAGTCTTCCCACATCTGCCCTTGCCGTTGAGCAGGACCTCAGTTCATCACACAGACGTGTGCAATCTGTGTATTCCACACCTTAAAGGACAACTGAAAGTCACCGATCAGACTCCAGCAAGCTTTCCTTTTTTTTACTTCTCAGTAAAATTACGGTAAAAAAAAAAAAAATTGCAACGATTCCCGAACTTAGTAACCAAATTTCCTCCCTTGCTAAATGATTGCCTGACTTTGTTTTGAACGCTTCGAATGCGAGAAGCTGATCCGCAGTGGTGTGAGGTAGGCATGTCGGGGAACGAGCGTCACTTGTCACCTGGTCCTACTCAGTTGTATTCTTCTCCACTGTGTCTCCAGCTTGTGCCAAATCCTGACAATGGCGAAAGATGACTCCACTGTTCGTTGCTTCCAGGGCCTGCTGATTTTTGGAAATGTGATTGTTGGTGTAAGTATTTTTCAGGAAACACTGTTCCTTCTGTAATCACAGTTTTTGGATTAATCAAAAGTGAGAGTTTAAAGGAAAATAATGATCTGATTACTGGCTTCCTCTCTCTTTTCTTGATTCCAGGAAATGTGTTAGTAAAATATGTTAGCTAGAACTTACAGAAATAATCATACGTAACTATGTAATATGTTGAGAGATCATGGTTTAAAAAAAAAAAAAAAGGTTATTTCCCTCCCAACTTCCAAATACAGAAATCTGAAAGAAGCCACGTCCACCATGGTCAGTGTCCAAACATTCCCACCACATGCACACTTTGGTGTTCCTTTCCTACTTCACCTTGGTTTGATTTCCACAGAACTGTTCTGTTAAGGCTGTTGGGGACAGATGTTTGCATTTATATGTCCTTACCATGCAGAGGTCAGTACCAGGATGTGACAGTGGCTCAGAGTCCTGGCCGTGTGGGCTTGGTGTACTGACAAAGCACTCGAGAGTCAGGATCACTGGCTCTAAGCCAGCCCTGCCTCCATCTCCACAGGACTTTGGACAAGTCATCGACTTTCAAGGCCAAGAGCCCTCATCTATAAAAGGCAGGGTGTGGGAAAGATAACCACCAAGGTTCCTTGGATCTCTGGCACTGATGAGTACGACCAGGACTAGTTTCAATATTACAATTCAGGAATTTGAGGGAAGGGCAGTGGAAGAGGGGCTCTGAAGTTATCTCCATACAAGAAGATATTGTTGAGTGGTTCATGCCCCAAGGACTCTAGATGGTCTAAAATTGCCTGGGTCTTTTCCCAAATAGCAATTAGACAGAGGGACATATGGGAGGAAACATGCAAGTTATTAATAGGATGGAAGGATGTTTGATTTCCTCGTAATGCATTTAAGTCCGTGGCTTTGCGCCTACGCAGGGACAGAGTGAGTCTCTCTCATAACCCTCTCCCCACACTTCTGCACCCCTTTCCCAATGCTGCTCTCCTGACCACCGGCCTGATAGAACACCCTTTGCCCCCCAGATGTGCGGCATCGCCCTGACCGCAGAGTGCATCTTCTTCGTATCTGACCAGCACAGCCTCTACCCACTGCTTGAAGCCACCGACAACGATGACATCTACGGGGCAGCCTGGATTGGCATGTTTGTCGGCATCTGCCTCTTCTGTCTGTCCGTTCTAGGCATTGTAGGCATCATGAAATCCAACAGGAAAATTCTTCTGGCGGTGAGGCCTTAAAACTCTCTACAGTTGCCTCCTGGATTGATTTTGATGGACTGTTTTTTCTTCCCTGAGACAGTGACTTGGCTTGTGGGGGAGGTAAGAGCAGAGAGAGCCAGGTGAGGGGTGAAAAGGAGGTCAAGATTTGCCCTGCAGTGAAGCTTATCCATGTGGGGGGCAAGGATGTCCTCCACTCGTGCAAGTCCAGAAGATTCCAGTACAGAGAACACACAGGGGAGCAACCTGGAGGTGACCCTGTTGAGTAATTTCCAAATCTGCTTCTCTACCTGGTGTTGGCATGCCTCCAGCAGGTACAGCCAGGAGCTACCTAGGCCAAGGGAAAGACAGACTGAGAACATGATCATTAGATTTTTTTCTCTTGACAATAAGTAGTCTAAAGTATGATTTTAATATTAATCAGTCATTGACATTTTAGGATATAAAATACAAAATAAGCATGAATTTTTAAGAGAAAGCATGAGCTTTTTCAGACATTTTTGAGCTCAAAGATGATGATTTTGTATAATGACCTGCATTTCCCATATTTTGCATTCACTCTACTTTTCAGGGACTCTAGAAAACCTTGATGCACAGCACTATAGAGTACAACTTCAGCTTCTAACCCTGTGCCCCACAGACAGGCTTCTGCCCTGAGCCACAGACAGCCAGGTCATGCCTTGCTTTGTAGATGGAAGCAAATGTGCAACCAACAGAACTAAGAAACCTTGGTATTGGGTCTAGACCTCTATTCTCTGCCCCCATGCTCAGGACAATGGTTTCTCACACTGTGATGGGGTCCCACACCCACTCCCCACCCTGAAATAACTCTCCTATCCAAATGTCGCAGGACCTGAGTTACATCTTTACGAAACAAGCCCAGCAACCTAAGATGCTTGTTGGTTTACTTTTCCTGTGATCTAAACTTGTCCTGGCACCCAGGGAATGCAGAACATTTACATTCTCTGATTCCTTTAGCATGAGTTATTTCCAGGGCAAAAGCAGCCACTTTTTCAGGCATGGGAAAGAATGAAGGAAAATGAAGAGGAGGGGCAGGTGTCTCCAGAGACAAGTTTCACCTGCATCCTGGTCTCACTTTGGGCCAGCCTTGTATGCCTGACACAGCCGAGAGAGAACATTCTTCACTGTGCTCTGCAAAGAGAAGGAGCAAGGCACCTTCCCAGGGGCTGATGGAGAAAACTCCTGTACCCGGAGGCTCCTTTCTGGAGTATCTCTGAGGGGTTTCCGAGCCTCTTTAAGAAGAATCATCAAAGCTCTCTCTCTCAATCTCTCTCTCTTCTTTCCTCTTTTAAGGATTTTATTTTTAAGTAATTTCTACACCCAATGTGGGTCTCAAACTCATAACCCCGAGATCAAAAGTCACATGCTCTAGGGACTGAGCCAGCCAGGTGCCCCCCATCATGAAAGCTCCCGACAAAAAACAAGTAGCAAATGTTATGAGGCCTCTGATTAATCAAAGGCCATAATCTTTCTGGGACTAGCAGCTGAGTCATTAGGGCAGCCCAGAGTCCTGCTCAGAGAGCCGTCTCTGCCCAGGGAGAGAGCACAGTTTTCCTTGCCCTCCCCCACGTACACAGACAGCAGCGCCCCTTCCCTGGGAGAACCCAGGGACCCGACGCGAATACGCAAGGCTGAGGAAAGCAAAGACAGACCCTTGCAAAGAGTTCCCATCCCAGATTCAGAGACAACTTGCTGTTGAGATATTTTCCAGTCATAAATAGAGGCAGAGTGGTGGGGAGGCATCGTGCGAAAGTGTGTGTGCGCATGTGCGAGTGTGGACACACAGACACACGACGGCAACACACAGCGGGGTGTGCTCTGCTCGCCTGCCCCATACCTGCGAACCTGGGGGCTGAGGGACGAGAGCCGGCGCAGCCTGCGTACCGGGAGCCTCCCGCCCCTTTCTGGGGAGATTGGATGCTTGGCAGGAGGGACGCTGGATGTTAAACACGATCCAGTCCATCTTTTCTGACCTCTGTACTTCTAAAGTTTCAGTAAACCATAAAGAAAATTTCTCTCACTGAGAGGGAATTTATGAAGCTCTATAGAGGGTCTGATCCACCAAGACGGTCTTGCCGGCCACCAAACAATCACGCGCGTGCGCACATCAGTGCCTTCGCTTGCGTGTTTTTCTCAAATAGCAATGTAGAAAAGATATTTCTCACTGGGCTGAGAAAGCTCTGTATTCAATAGTCATTTGTTCTCTGGGCATAAGGAGGGAATTGAACGCATTAGCACCTGGTACCAAGTCTTGCTCCAAACAGCTGATCCATGAGGGTTTGCTGAATAATTTCATTAATGATTGGATGGCTTGACTTAGATGAATATGCTGAAAGATATAACAATTATTTTTTAAAATTCTCTCTTTGGAAATAAATGTAATTCTTTTTTTCCCCCCACTTGTTTCCCTTCCAGTATTTCATTCTGATGTTTATAGTATATGGCTTTGAAGTGGCGTCTTGTATCACAGCAGCAACACAACGAGACTTTGTGAGTACAATCACAAAAAGCACAGAGTGGAAATGATCATGGGAGTCGTCATTGTCATAACAATATAATAGCTGACATGTATTAAGCCCTTACTCTGTACCAGGTATGCTAACATGTGCATTAATATTAAATATACAAGTTTCCTTAATCCTCATAATTACTCCATGAAATAGGTATTATCACAATGGTCACTTTATAGATAAAGAAATGAGACTTGAAAAGGCGAGGTAACTTGTCCAAGATTACATGGCTGGTAAGTGAAAGAGGAGAATCCTGAGTCCAGGCAGAGCAACTCCCTGGGCCCAAGCTTGTACTGCTATGCTCTTCCCACTCTGCGGTGGCCATCGGCTCTTCCATAGGATAATCAACAGTCCACCACATCTAAGACTTCCTTGTTTTCTTGTTTTCTCTCCTTTTCTCCACTTCCAAGCCTAGGCCACTGTAAAATGCCTGCCCACCCTGGTCTCACTGGGATTTGTTTGAACATGGGAAGAAGGGAAAAGGAAAACTTCTCCCTTCATGGGGACTTCAGCCATCCAGAGCCTCACACCCATCCCACCCTTTCTTGGGGCCTCTACAGACAGTTTTAATCCGGGAGATAATGATCAGTGCCCCCTAGCAACAGGCAAGGCACATCACTTTGCTTCCTTGTTGGATGAGCGTGCTAACTCTCCTTTTGTTGTCTCCTCCCACCATAGTTCACACCCAACCTCTTCCTGAAGCAGATGCTAGAGAGGTACCAAAACAATAGCCCTCCAAACAATGATGACCAATGGAAAAATAATGGAGTCACCAAGACCTGGGACAGACTCATGCTCCAGGTAATGCCTGCAGCCTTCGGGAGATATTATTCTGTACCTCAACCAGTATCCAGGAGTGAAGGTATGGATGTCAGTGAAGTCAAAGAATGGGGAACACAGCCTCTAGGGTGGTTTCATTCAAAAAGAGATTGGACTGGGGCCCCTGCGTGGTTCAGTGGGTTAAGCATCTGACTCTTGATTTCAGCTCGGGTCATGATCTCAGGGTTGTGAGATAGAGACCTGTGTTGGGCTGGGCATGGAGCCTGCTTCAGATTCTCTCTCTCCCTCTCCCTATGCCTCTCCCTTGCTGCTCACATGGACTCTCTCTTCTCTCAAAAAAAAAAAAAAAAAAAAAAAGGAAAAAGGAAAAGAAAAAGAGACTGGACATAGGCGAGTTCATTCATTCTCATTCATTCTTCTTATCTATTCCTCTTGTGTGCACATCACTCAGTGGGACCCCTAGATCTGTATTTTATTTTCGAGCCATGATGTTGATTAACTTCCATTTAGGGATAATGACACCGTTAAGAAATTTAGATAAATCACACGCACTGTCTCTTAGAACTCAAGCATCATTTACACTGGAAGAACAAGTTTGCTTCCTCCACATCACAGTGAACTCAAGGGGCAATTATTGCCTATTTTGCTTATTTAGTACCAATGGGCTAGTCCTGCCAAGGACCATGTGCTATGACCTGACTTGATTGTCCACTTTTCTGTCACTGGCCATCATACCTTATATACGAGTTTACCTTAAATATCATCAAAAATCCAAGTCTTTCAGAATATCCATTGTTACCCCTGAATTGTCTTATGTATATGAATATCTATCCCTAACTAAACCCTAATCTGACCAAACTCTCATACTGTCCCTGCCTCCCCTTCCCCTCTACTGGCTCACAGTGCATCATCAGCAAACTCCCTTATAGCCTCTGCTCCCTCTTTGATGTCTCTTTACCCCCTATTCTCTATCACTTCCTTCATTTATCTGAATATTCTCATTCCAATAATTCTTTTTAGCCCGTTAGGACCTCCAATTCATTGCCACTTTTTTATTTTCTACCTACTCGTCTGACTATAGGTCATGTACTTTTCCCACTCCGTTAGCAAGAGCTATAAGCTCTTCAAATAAAAATGTAAACGCCCACACATCTGAAAAATCTTCTTACCAACTTCTAAAAACCCAGTCTGAACTTAACCATTTTCCCTCCAAAAGACTCAGATCAAAATACAAGAAAAGTATTTCCCTTGCCAGGGTATTTTCAGTGGCAAAATAGAATCTGCTTTAAAGACAGCTGATTCGGAGCACCTGGGTGGCTCAGGGGGTTAAGCATCTGTGTTTGGCTTAGGTCAAGATCCCAAGGTCCCAGGATTGAGCCCCGTGTTGGGCTCCCTCCTTGGCAGGGAGTCTGCTTCTCCCTCGGCCCCTCACTCTGCTGTGCTCGCACTCTCTCTCTCTCTCTCTCAAATAAGTAAATAAAATTTAAAAAGAAGTAAAGACAGCTGATTTGCCATCAGATTTGTTTGAAAGTAATTCATTCTGAAAGTTGAGAGGGGCCTGTAATTTTAATTTCTTCCCTTGAAACGTTTTAGCAGAATTTCTACTAAGGAAGGAAAGTGATACGAAGAATGTTTTATCCTCTGTCCTCAACTCTATTGAGTGTGAGGATGTTAGCTATGTGTTCTGTTCCTTGATCTTCCTCTCCTATGTAAAGGCAGAGCTATATGCCACCAGGTTTGGGCTATTTTTTTCCAGTGTATTTTCTCCCGTTATAAATGTAATACACAATTGCTCTAGAATACATTAAAAGTACAGAAATGTAAAACAACAGGAATTACTCATTACTTCTTTACCACTAAAGATTTTAATTTTCTGACTCTCAATTTGCTTATGTGTCATATGAGAATAATCATACCTCCCTCACATTGCTGTATCAAGATATTAGTATTAATAATTAATAATTAGTATTGATTATTAATATCAATTAACATTGATTAAGTAATTAATTAGTGTTAATGATTGACCCTTAATAAGTAAGGGCTTACTATGGGACACTGTACTAGAGGCACTGTACTAGACAGGTCGGGCACATTAGCTAATTTCATCCTCACAGGAACTCTGAGGACCGTGGATTGTGAAGGACACAAAGTCATGTTTTACAGTGAAGGAAAGTGAGGCGTAGGAGGGAGCTGAACTTATCAGAGGCTTCAGAGTTCATTAGCGGCTAGTGGAGTAACAAATGGTGAAGTATTTTGTAAGTTTTAACATGTAGGTTATCAATACCCTCCGCTCTCATTGGGGGAATTCTAGGAAATGCAAGATATGGTACATTTTCCATATCTTCTTTCTCTGTAAAATCTCAGTTGCTACATTGATGGCGTAGCAAGCAGCATGAAGAGAATTTTGCATCTCTGCTCTGCTGACAGGACCACTGCTGTGGTGTCAATGGCCCGTCAGACTGGCAGAGATACACGTCTGCCTTCCGGACTGCGAATCATGATGCCGACTATCCCTGGCCTCGTCAATGCTGTGTGATGAACAGTCTGAAAGAACCTCTCAACGTGGAGGCCTGCAAGCTAGGAGTGCCCGGGTACTATCACAAGGAGGTGAGTCCCTTCTGCCCACCACCTGCCAGAAGGTTTTCTGCTCTTTAGGAGGGAAAGACTGGTGAACTATAGTCCTAACGTCTCATGAAGAATTCCGCATCATTTTGCCCTACACCTCACGTCAACTATTTCCTTCTCTGTCAGTAAAATGCAAATGCTAATCTAGGGCTGTTCTGGGAAAGTCAACATTTCTTTTTTTAATTTTTATTATTTTTTAAGATCTTATTTATTTATTTGACAGAGATCACAAGTAGGCAGAGAGACAGAGGGGGAAGCAGGCTCCCCGCCGAGCAGAGAGCCCGATTCTGGGCTCGATCCCAGGACCTCGGGATCATGACCTGAGCCGAAAGCAGAGGCTTTAACCCACTGAGCCACCCAGGCGCCCCGAAAATCTACATTTTAATAACAGAACAGGAGAATGGTGATAGCAAAGTCCAACTTTGTTTAAATGCAAACTGTTTGTACAATAGAATATAGACTTGGTACTTCAAAAACTATTTTCACTACGCAAAGATTGGTTCTCTTTTTGCAAAAATGTAAATTGGGGGTGCTGGGTAGCTCAGTGGGTCAAAGCCTCTGCCTTCAGCTCAGGTCATGATCCCAGGGTCCTGGGATTGTGCCCCGCACCGGGCTCTCTGCTTGGCGGGAAGCCTGCTTCCTCCTCTCTCTCTGCCTACTTGTGATCTCTGTCTGTCAAATAAATAAATAAAATCTTTAAAAAAAAAAAAAAGTAAGTTGGAAGGGGTGTATACAAAAAGAATGTTTTGCTAGTGCCAGAGCAGTGGCAATTGGTGATGGTAAATGCAATAATGATATAACCACCCTCATTATTCTGTGGTGATATAGGATGGTCTTAATAGAATATTAAGTTAATGATTTGGGTAGAAGGCAGTTTACATACAGATGGTTTTTAAGAAGGTATTTCCAGCCTGATGGAAATGATAAAACGAACCTGAAAACTAACACTTGTTGAGTACTTACAAAACCAGATACCGTTCCAAGTGCCATATGTGTATTAACTCATTTAAGGCTCAAAGGTAGGGGTCAATATGATTCTTATTTTACGGATGAGGAACTAAGACACAGAGGTATAAGAAGCACCTTGCCCAAGGTCACTCAGCTAGTCAATGGTTGAGTCAGGATTCAAACCCAAGCAGTCTGGCTCAGGAGCCCAGACTGTAAGCCAAGAAAAAACTTGGAAATATTCCCAAAAAGCCTGAGGAGAATTCTCCTATACTTGGAATCAGCCTCCGAAATGCCTCTACTGCTTTGCGAGTTACCACTTTAAGGGAATCTGGCTGTGTGTCAGTTAATTAAATATTGAGAAATGTCAGACTCCTTAGTCTGAGAGTAAATACTACAAAGGGCACGTTCAGAATGAAGGACACTAAACAGCTGATCGTCATGCTGCACCTCGGAGGGTGCGGGGACTAGGATCGGTTGCTTTTATCCAGAAAAGAACATGGGTGTGATGCAGATTATTTTGCAGAGTCCCTCAAAGCCACCCTTTTTAGCTTTTCAGCAACTGTTGCTGTATCAGTTACATTCAGACTGCTGTAGCAATTAACTGTGCTCCTTATTATCACAATATGCAGTATAATGATCACTCTCAAGAGAAATAAAGGCTTTCAGTATTTCAACCTTGGCACAGGCCCACACAAACGTATCTTGATTGGATTGGATTGTGTATAGAGTGTATCATCTCTGTGAAAGGGCAGGAAAGGGTATTTGTCGTGAAATAATCAGCTGATCTCCCTCAGACATGTAATGTTCTGGTAGGGAGGAAAGTCCCCATGAGTTTTGACAATGCTTCCCACCTCCTCCCATAGGGTTCCTTGGTCTCACCTGTGCTTAACATTTCTACTTCCTCTCCCCACTAGCTGCACAACTACAAACTTACCATCACGCAGCCCTACTCTCCTGCCAAAGTCCTGCACCTGAAATTCTTCTCTCTGTTCCTGGCTCCCTGTGCTCCTACTCTCTCAATCTCACTCATTCTTCAGTCTCTCTTTCTGCCTCTCCCTCTCCCAGTCCCCCAGATTTCCACACACCACCGTTCTTTCTGAGTCATAGGTCCTGCTACTTCTCCTATAGCAATCCCTTTCCACCAAATGAAATATGGCCCAGTTCTTCCTATATTTGACTTCTGTTATTGCAGCCCTGAGCCATATTGTATTTGCTCACAAATCTTTTCTGCTCACTATCTTTTCTGAGTCTCCCTGAGGACCGTGCGTTACTCAATTCTACATCTTCAGTACATCTCATACTGCCTGGCCCAGAGCAGGCACTGAGAACTGTTTGGCGGGTGGGTGGTGGAAGAGGGGAATGACTCTCTTTTTCACATCCATATTGTAGTTTTCGAAATCTACATTGCATAAATGAAGGCTAACAAAATTAGGGATGTCCTCATAGGTGTGGGGAAAATAGAAACTAACCAGGAATTCACACAGCATGTCAGACGCAGATACATGTGTTCTTACTCATGGTCCACCTGCCCCAGAAATACTGTGTGCAAAATCTGATCACTGTACCTCAGGAACATTATCACAGAACTGAGGAAGATCAAGGAAACCAGCACAATGATAAGAGAAAAAACAAAAAACAAAAAACACACACTCTGAGCAGGAACTAAATTAGAAGAGGTGAAAAAACTGGGGCTTTTGTCTGTGAGTTCTAAGAACAATGCCCATGTCTGTCTTGTCACTGCTGAATGCCCAGCCCAGTGCCTGGCACCCGACTTAAGTGGTTTCTATGGGTACCTGTTAGGACAAACGACCCCCTCCAAGGATTGTTAGGAGGATCAGTGAGTAATGGATATAGGAGTGTTCATGAACTATTGTGTCACAAATGATACTGTTGTAATCATTACTTCATGTCGGGCTCCATTCATTTTATCCACATTATTAGGTGCCTACTTTGTGCCAGGCACTTGTGCTGGGTCCTAGAGATTCAGCCACGAGCACAAAAAATCCCTGCCTCGTACTTGCACTGTAGCATGGGTGAGAGACACCAAACAAGTTACCAAACTAATACATGACAAATTCCTGGTAGTGATAAATGCCATGAGCAGAAGTAAAGCAGGGTGATTGTATATGGAATGACAGGAGAGTGTTTTTCCCTATGGTGGTCAAGAGAAGCTTTGTTGGGGGATACTTGCACAGAGTTCTGAATTAAATGGGGGAAATGAGACACTTAAAGAAGATTGAGGAAGAGAGTTCTAAGCAAAGGAGACAGCGGGTGCAAAGGCCCTGAAGTGGGAGCATTCTTAGCTTTTTATAAGAACATCAAGGACATCAGTGTGGCAAGGCCAGAATGAGTGAAGGAAGAGCTGAAGACTGGGATGCTTTAGATTTTGTAGGGCTGGAATCTGTATGGAAGAATACCCTCCTTAGGAAAAACAATTAAAAATATGCATACAGGGGCGCCTGGGTGGCTCAGTGGGTTAAAGCCTCTGCTCAAGTCATGATCCCAGGATCCTGGGATCGAGCCCCGCATCAGGCTCTCTGCTCAGCAGGGAGCCTGCTTCTCCCTCTCTCTCTGCCTGCCTCTCTGCCTACTTGTGATCTGTGTCTGTCAAATAAATAAATAAAATCTTTAAAAAAAATATGCATACAAAATTAGGTACAGGGACTTGAAATGGTCTTGTAAGTAAGCAGCCCTGAAGCTTAAGCTCGTTAGCTTTACAGGGAAACAGCCTCTGGAAGAGGACACTGGGCTCATAGAGAGGGGCAGAGCCACGTCAGACAGGCCCGGTAGGCCATTGTGAGGACTCAGAATTTCATTTTAAGGGTGGTAGAGAGCCATTTCTTTTGAGCAGGGATTTGAAGTGATCTGATTAATGTTTTACAAGCATCCCTCTGGCACTGTATAAAGATAAGTAGGGTGCCAACAGTGGACTCAAGCCCCAAAGAGACCAGTGAAGAGGCTGTTGTAGTAATTCTGGAGAGAGACCATAGTGGACCAAGGCGGGGGCCGGAAGTAATGAGTGTTTGGATTTGAGATGTATTTTTAAAGTAGACCCAAAAGGTTTTGCTTAAGTATTTGATGTTGGATAAGAGAAGAACAACAGTTAAAGATAATTCCAGATTTTTTTACTTGAATGAGTAGGTGAATGGAGATGCCTGTAACATAGATAGAGAAGAGTAAATGGGAGAGAAATAAAGGCTTAGCAAAGTCAGGGGGCATAAGTGGGTTAACAAGGGCCTGGAACAGGGTCAGAAAGATGGAACCTCACGTGGTCATCTATAGCCTCGGGGTAGGGGCTAAACTTCAAGGTCAGCCTTTTGAGGACATTTCCCTCTGGACCTCAGTGGCCCATGGAACCCCCTGGCTGCTGCATTCACTAGACTTCTCCCAGAGCTTTAGCACAGGTCACTCAGAGGGCAGCTCTAACGTCATGCGTGTGTTTTATTCCAGCACTTTGCATGGTGACTGGAACAGAGCCTGCCACGTATAAAAACTCATTGGATTATGGCATGCATGAATGAATGATTTGATTAATACAAAATGAATCGTTGGCACACATACCTTGGCTTCTCAAAGTCTCACTAGAATCCAATAAAGATATGCTGAAATATGATAGCAAATGAGAATTTAGACAGCATCAAACAGGGTTTCCTTTAATGGTTTAAAAAAAAAAAAACCTTTGATATTTATAGATCAGAAGCACTTTCATTTAAGAACAAACAAATCAAAGGTACCTCTGCCCTCAAAAAAATAAAAAACCACCAAAAAATTCTGTAGGGAGAGAATAAGTACTCAAATTTTATTACGAATACTTCATATTGTACTTTATGCTACAATTTTTTAAAAAAGAGAACACATTGCCCATGTATTCAATATGAAAAAACATCAGTCTAAAATAGCAGCACCTTTGTTTGAGTGATAAAGACACAAAATAATGTGATCTAGAGTAGTTGTTGAACAGGACTATTTCTGTTCCCTCAGCAAAGCCCTATTGATACCCGCTGTCCAAGGGGATGTGGAAATAGCCTGGGTATGTTAAACTAGACTTTGGGATAGTCTTGATCCAAGTAGAAATCTGCCTTCCCACCCATCCCTTACATCTTTTTCTCTGGTTCTTCTCTCACCCACGTGGAACGCTGTGCTCCTCCAGGGGTGCTATGAACTCATCTCTGGACCCATGAACCGACATGCCTGGGGGGTTGCCTGGTTTGGATTTGCCATTCTCTGCTGGACTGTGAGTATTTCCCTGCACTTGATAAGGAGAGAACTTGAGAAGGCCCTGGTTAACCCATCCACGCTAGACAGTCTGGAAACAAAACCTCAGACCTGAGGGCGAGGCAGGAAGCTGCTGGCACCAGGCAAGGACTGTGGATTCCGTGGGCAGGTGGGGCATTTATATCCCCTCCACGGGAAGGGATATGCCCTACTAGCCAGATCTACTAGCTAATGGGGGAGCACTTGATTGCCTCCAGCTCTCTGGATCTCATTAATTCATTAATTTATTATACCGAAATACCACTTCCTGGGGAAGCTTCTAGAAAAGAAAATATACCTGGGCCCCGGTCTCTGAGATTCTGATTCATTGGATCCAGGGGCAGGACCCAAGCATTTAAAAAACCTTTTCTTTCCATATAACTCTAATTTGCTGTCAGGATTAAGAGCTGTTACATTTGGGAAGCAGGTCTAAACTTTTGATTTCAGAACCCCTTTACACTCTCAAAAATTACTGAGGACTCTCATAAGCTTTTATTTATGGGGGCTATATCTATTTATATTTACCCTAATGGATATTAACCCAGAATTTTAAAAAAACTTATTAATTCATTTAAAATAACAATAATAAACTAATTACATGTTAACATTAACAATGTATTTTTATGGGAAAAGTGACTATTTTCCAAAACAAAAAACAGAAAAGTAGCACTGTTTTACATTTCTAAAAAGTATCTTCAGTGTCTGGTTTTAACAGAAGACAGCTGGGTCCTTTTATTTGCTTCTTTACTTAATCTGTTATAGTAAATTGCTTAGGCTGAAGGATTTGAAGAAAATCCACCCTCACGCTGATAGGTAGCTGAAAAAAAAAAAGGGAATGCTTTGATAACCTTATCTAAAAGTAACTGTGAATAATCTTCTTTGGTACTACACAAAACTTGACAACTAGCAGGTTCTTAAGCGTTAGTTGTGATGTGGAATCTAAAACTATGTCAACAAACTTTTCAGACTCTATTATATTAAAATACATTTACATCAGTTTGTCTTACAATTTACATAAATCATTCACCCATTCATGATTCCATAACATCATGCATTGGTCATTTGGGAAAATATTGGTTCACTGCGTTATGCTGATCTTCCAAATATTGGCTGAAGTCTTTATGAGATACCAGGAAATCTGTTGCCACATTGGAAAGGACCTTTATCATGAGGATGCTATCAACCCATCATGATAGAAACAAGTTGCCTGATTTTTGCTTGAGCACCCAAATTTATCACTGGCAAGAAATACTGTCAGTTGTTTTCCTCGAAGAGACAGACTCACTTCATAAATTTTTGAGAAAATGTCTGCCAAACATTCAATCTGAATAACTGTAGCTTGTCTATTAGTCATTTTTTTTTCAAGTAAAAATCACGTTTCATGAAAAAAATGGCTAGTTCAGGGGCTCTGGGTGGCTCACTCATTAAGCGTCTGCCTTCAGCTCAGGTCATGATCCCAAGATCCTGGTATGGAGCCCCATGTCAATGGACTCCCTACTCAGCAGGGTGTCTGCGTCTCCCTCTCCCTCTGCCCCTCCTCTCCCCCCTTCCCAGCTTGGAGCTCTCTCTCTAATAAATAAATAAAATATTTTTTTAAAAAAGGCTAGTTCAGTACAGTCAAGCAATCACACAAGTGCCTTTCCTTAAGACAACCATTAGATTTCACTATGCAACAAAACTGCTTTATGCATACTTTCCATTGCAAGAATATTAAAAAGATATATATTCAGGGGCGCCTCGGTGGCTTAGTTCATTAAGTGCCCAACTCTTCATTTCCACTCAGGTCATGTGATCTCAGAGTCTTGATATCGAGCCCCCCATGGTGGGCTCCCCCTGTCTTCTTCCACTCTCCCCTCCCCGCCGCTCTACTCCAGCGCAGGAGCACACATGCACTATCTCTCAAATAAATTAAAAGAAGATTTTATTTATTTATTTGAGAGAAGAACAAAAGAGAACAAGGTGGGAGAGGGGCAGAGGGAGAAGCGGACTCCCTTCTGAACAGGGAGCCTGACATGGGGCTCGATCCCAGGATCCAGGATCATGACCTGAGCCAAAGGTAGACGCTTTACTGACTGAGCCACCCAGGCACCCCAATAAATAAATCTTTCAAAAAAAAAGATGAATATTCAAAGGTAAACATTTAATAAAATTAGTATTTCTTATTGCTTCATCAAAAACAATCTCAAAATTCTAAACTTCTAGATCACTTAAACTGCCTTTTTTCTCACTGCAAGTACGTAGCTGTGAAGAATACACTGACCACTGACACAGTTTAGTGCCTCTACTTCGAATCCTAAGACGCCAGCAGTTTTACCTGCCCCTGCTTTTGCACCGTCAGTACAAATGTGGAAAACAGTGAAAAGGGCAAATAAAGTCTTAACATTATTATGCAAATGGCCTTGACATCAGGCGCACCCACGAGGGTCCCTTGGGTGTTTGTGCACCACAGTTTAGGAAATGCTGGGTTTGGCATGAGAAGCTGAGTGAGGCAGGAAGGAAAAGTGAGCTCCTTTGAGAGGTCTTCTGTGGTCCCTCACCCACCCTCAGGAAGTCCCATGGCGCCCCACTCCGCACACACGCGGCCATGTCTCCATCACTCTGATACGACATATTTGTCTGCTAAAAACCCGGGATCCAGCTGCCCTCTGTATTCCCAGGGCCTAGCTGAGCACAAGCAGGTGCTTGATAGTTTGTTGAGTGAATGGAAAATGGTAACACGTTTCTATGACTTGAATGGTAACAACTTCTGTGAAGTTTCTCTTCCTGCCATGCTAGCAGGAACTGTGGGATACTGTTTAAAGGTTCTAAAGGATTTTAGCACTCCAGACCAGCTGAAACTCTTGACATTTCCACAAGCATCAAGTGCACTCTGAATCTATTAAGTCCCCCTGAAATTCAAAAGAGGGAAGCAAAAGGAACTAAATGTATTGAAGACCTCTATGGACAAGGCATCATGTCTGATACTTTCAGCACTAAATCCCCCCAACAGGAGCTAGGTAGGGAGCCAGTCTCCTTACCCTCTCTGTGCCTTGGTCTCTTTGTAGGATTCTGGAAGCATTCAAGGGAGTTGTATGTGTAGCCTTCAGAACAGTGCCTGATGTACAGTAAGTTGTCAATAAACATCAAGCATTCGTGGTAATAGTATTTCTTCCTCATTCCGTCATTTAACTCTGGGGCAGGTGAAGAATATTATCGTTACTTTTCAGATGCAGGGAGGGAGTGTCAGAGCTGCAACAGAACCCAGATATTCTAACCTTCCTCACCTGAGGCAGAAACCTTGAGTTCTGTGTTTCTTCAGGGACAGCCATTCCAGGTCACAAGCATTTTTGGGGAAATAGGGGGTTCTTGGGAGAAGAGGTCCAGTACTAGAAAGCAAGCAAATTGTATCTTCAAATGGTACATACAAGAAATAGGAATCCACCCGAAGTTCATTAGCTCTGATGGGAAGAAGAAAGAATTTGCCCGAGGGGCTAGTTCAGCACAGACATGAGGGGAGCAGCCCTAGCAGACAGGAAGTCTAGGGCACCTTGGTGCAGGGAAGTGGGGAACAGAGAAGCTATCTCTGAGCAGCAGGATAGTTACCTCTGCCCCTTGAGGTTTCTTAAGGCGAGATTACTCTTAAAAATTCAGGATCATCTAGGCGTGAGTGAACCTAACATCCTTTCCCCACCCAAGTATGAGTCATTTCTAAAACAATTCCTTATTTTATTTTTCCTTTGTATTCTAGTTTTGGGTTCTCCTGGGTACCATGTTCTACTGGAGCAGAATTGAATATTAAGAACAAAGCGTCACCACCACACCACCTTCCTCCAGTTACTCTGGGCCCAGTGCTTCAAGCGAGCTCTCCTGGTAGAGCCCACGTCTGTGCCCCGTGGGGGCCCTGTGCCTCTTACTCGAACTGCGGAGGTAGAGGTGTACCCCTGGGCTTGCAGCCTCTCAAAATTCTCACTAGGGTTTTCAGTCTGGTCTAGAGTACTGCAACATTTTTTATAGCCATTTTTATAGCCAGTAGGAAAGGGAGACTTTGGAAAGTCAATAACTACTTCTTCCATCCTTGCCTATTTTTAATTTGAGGGCAAAAAGACTTCCACAAGAACCTGTGTTATCTCAGCAAGCCAAGTCTGTATTTGCACAGCAAGGTTGCGTGCATTTCTCCCTGCTTTCTGAAAGAGACTTGCAAAGGCTTTCATTCTTCTCAGTCTTGCCCAGGTGAGAGAATTAAGGAAAAAGTTGTTGAGAGAGATCTTTGGCCTTTGTTCTATGGTGGCTTCCATCTACACAGATTCAAGTGATTCCCTTACTGCCGTCTTAGAACCATTTTGTTCTTCAGGACAATGCCCAACCTTGGGAGTTAACAGTGGTTGAAACTTCCTCTCAGACATGGCAGGGTGACCCGTGTGTTTTAAGCTCCCTTCTCCCATTAATTCCTTTTATTGTCAAAATATTTCTCTTCTGAACTATGTTTCCGTTTATGGTCCTGAAAGAAATTCTTACAATTCAATATTTGTCTAGTCTTATAAATAAAGAGGGCTTTTAAATATGTTCATTTTCTTTTGTTTTCACCGGTTGGCATAATTGGTCGCATAGCAAAATGAGTGTTCCAATGGAAGAGTCTTTTAGGTTCATGGGAATTAATGTTTAGGCGATAGAAAATGCCATTGGGTGAGGTTTCCTGCTGAATGCCCTGTAACTTTGCTGTACGGTTTTGATGGTTGGAAATTCTAAATTGACTTTTACTTTACACTCCTGCTTCACTTAGCCCAGTAGTGGTGATGGAGCTCCAGCTCCTCAATCCTTTTCCTCCTGCAAGGGAAGTGATTCGAACTTGCAGCTGTGAATGATGTATCCTACGAAGGAAGTATAGGTTTTCTTCAGGGTCCTACTCACAGCCACCTCTGTCACAAGGAGTGCCCCTATCCCACATCCTGGTGAGTGAGGCTGAGCCCCGGGGTAGGGAGGGACAAGAGTGGAGTGGGGTGCGGACACACCTCTGCCATGCACCTGGGGAAAAGCTGGGACAGCAGCCTGATCTTAATTCCCAGGACAGGGGGCCAAAGTTTCCTGTCCTGACACTCATCCAACCTTGCCCCTCACCTTGTCTCTCCAGGGGAGTGCTTCTGCTGTCAGGATAAATAAATGACACCTGCACTTAGCTGAGAAGGTTTTCTCCATGGTCTTTTAGAAGAGAGAAGGAGAGGGAGGGAGCTTACACTGGGCCAAGCTTTTAAATGCCTCCCATGCGTTCTGATGTCTTTTTCTTCCACTGATAACCAGATTTTCTAGTGCCTCCTGCTGTCTGCTGCTTGAGCAAAGTCTGCCCCAAACCCACTTCTGACTTCCCCTCTAGGGCTTTGTGCATGCTCCCAAAACTCTATCTACCCACAAAATTCCATTCTCCTTGTGATTTGATCTCGGTTAGGTTAAGGGAAAGGCTTTGTACAGACTAATTCACTAAGGGGTGAGTGACAACTAGTTCCCTCTCTCTTCATCTTCTCTGTAGATTTTTCATTGATAACTGAAAATTGATCTCTGGTTGCTGGAATCCAAGGCAGCGATAGGAGCAGGAAGAGCTCTCATGGGGCAAGATGGCCCTCCTGCTGCTCTCTAAATCTTACCTCCTGCCTTCTCTACCAAGAAGTACCTAGAAAGAACACGGGCCTTTAGTCAGTGCCCCTTGTCCCCTCTCCAGCTAGATTCCTAGTGGAGCCTCAGCCTTATCTTCAGAGAAGGTGCAAATTCCACTGTAAATGTGGACAGGTTTTTGATCCGCCCCAAAATCAAGTAAGTCTCTGCATGCAGGTACCCACTATGTGCAGGCCCCCAACACGTGGGAGGATGTATCTTCCAGCTGAGACAAACCCAGGCCCAAAGACCCCTCTGCAGAGAATTGGCCATTCAGGCCCCTGCGCTTTCTGCTCCAGGGTCTCCAGTTCAACTGCAGAGCAATTTCCACTCTGCCTAGTTCCTGCTTCCACCCCTTTCCACCTGCTATGGCAGCCCAACTTTCCCCTTCTGGAAGTGGGACTCACAGTGAGACTCGAACCACCATTCAAGGCGAGGCCCAGGTCCAGCCTCAACAATGCCACCTCCAGCCCCGCTAGACCAGGGAGTGGAAGGCGAGCGGGGAGCTGGCAGGTTGTTGGGTTCAAGACCCAAGAAGACAAAACCATCTTGAGAAAATGCCACTTCTCCAACAGACCATGGGCCTGCTTATCAGGTGCACAAAGAATGATTACTGCCTAACACCCAAAATGAGTCAGGCTAACTCTGGGGTAGGTGTTACTGGGTTGCAATGCCCCAGGGGTCATCATGGTCTCTTGGTTGGCTCATTCCTTCCAGGTTGCCACTCAGGCTCCTGGCCGGCTGTGTACCGGGAATGTCAGAAAGCCTACTGCTCAGGGGCACCTGGGTGGCTCAGTTAGGTGGCTGGCTCTTGGTTTTGCTCCGCAATGATCTTGGGGTCTTGGGATTGAGCCCCCTCTGGGTTTAGTGGGGGAGGGGGAGTCTGTTCAGGATTCTCTCTTCCTCTCCCTCCCACCCTTAAAAATAAATACATAAACTGAGAATGAAAGAAAAGGAAGAAGGAAGAAAAGGAAGGAGGGGGAGGGAAGGAAGGAAGGAGGGAAAGAGAGAAAGAGTGAGCCTACTGTTCAAGTTCGTAAGCCCTACAACTTATTTTCTACCTGAGCTGGATACACAGAGAGGCTCAGATTTTGAAGAGTAGATAGGTACTTCCTGGCTAAACAGATAATGGTCACGAGTTTGAAAATCCAATCGCCTCTCAAACCTCCACCCCTCCCTACCCCCACCCATCCCTGACAAGCCCAATAGGGCCGAGGAACTGGAAACTCAGCGGCTTTCTTACCTCTATTGATTGAACAAGTGTTTCTCCTTCTGTATCTAATATTTCCTTTCCTTTGTCTTTTCTGCTTCACCACACCCAGATCCTTATCACCTTCTATGAGGGAGGCTGAATGAAAAAAGAAACCCAGCCGAAGGCTAGTTGCAAGCTACAAAACTAGTTGCAAGCTAGGGAGTTTGCTTTCATGTGTGACATTTTCAGAAGGCTTGAGTAGCCCCATCTAAAGAGATGTACAAACATCTTGGGAACAGGCAGCATTGCTGAGAAATGCATAGTTCCCAGACCCTCCTCCAAGTAACCCTTCCCACAGTGCCCAGTCAACTGCCAACACACACACACACACAAACACACACACACACACACACACACACCACACAGACTTAACTTCAAAGACAACAGCCAAATCCTGGGGTTAAAGAGAAAGGGTGCCATCATACCTTTTCTTTTTCTTGTGGCCTGTACCTGGAGTTCCTGCTAAAAAAGAAAATGAGAGCAGCTCCTGACATTGAAATTAGGCTGCCCTCACACTAGGCCATTAGATGTAAACAATCCTACGGGATGCAAATAATCTCACAGAATACTGACCTCAGATAAGGTCACACAAAATGAGGCAAAATGAGCCCACCTCCTAATTCTGTCCAAGCACAAGTACAAGGTCACCGTGCCACCTGAAAAATACCAAACCTACCCTCCTTTGGCTAAAATAAATGACTGCTATGAGTTTACCAATTACAGTTTTATTTTCCTGCTAGTCCCGATGAATAAAATTTATTCACACTCAGAATTGTCCCTGCTTTCTGGCAATGTCCAATGTAGAGAACACCCTATTTGCTTAGGCCTTCCCCAAATGACCCAACTGAAACCCAAATGCTAGAATAGGTTCTAACTCCCTTTTCCTAAGACAGCTCATGGTTCCCTATGGTGTGTTCTCCCTCACTGGGAGTCATAATCCCAACTTATTTAACTGCAGATGTGTTGGGGGGTGGTCTTTGAAGGGCACAGCCCCTCTCCAGATAACTGCCCATCCCTATTTCCTCTCTCGGTGTATTTGTTGGTTGGTTAAGAACATGAGCTTCTGGAGTCAGGTATCTGCCTCCAAATCCCAGCTCTGCAGGACTTTGGCAACTTACTTAGCCTCTTGGAACCTGCTTCAGGAAAACAGGTCTAACCTCAGCGGGGACTGGAAACATTCCGTAAGTTATGTCAAGTGCATCAGAATGGCAACAGGCTGAGACCCCAATAAGAAGTTATAATGTAAGTCTGGACTGAAGGCCTGTCCGTGGCCCATAATCTTTGGAAACATGCCAACTAATGACACATTACTTCAATTTATTACAGTAGGCTTGATGATCAGATCCACTGGTCTAGATGGACTGGCCCTCCAACAATAGTGGAGTAAGAGCTTTTCAGCAAAACTCCTCTCCACAGAAGAATGTACTAGGGTTGTCAAAATAAGACATTTTAACGGATGCATCTCATGCTCTGTGTATTATTTCTACAGTCCACACTACAAATGAGATCTCTGCCTTGCTGGTCTCACAGAGAAATCTCATCATCTCCTGACAATGTGATATTATTCAAGGTGGGAGGACAGAGGTACTGGAGAGAGACTTGAGTTTAAGACTTCTCTCTTCCTCTTACCAACTTTGGAAGTTACTTAACTTGAATCTGTTTTTGTCTTGGCAGTACATACGTGCCTACAGGGCTACTGAAAAGTTAAAATAGACACATACACACTGGTAACTTGGCTAATGCAGAGCAAGCACTCAGTTATTGTTATGACACACCCTTCACCAACCTCTCTTCCAAGGCCCGAAATTAGACACACATACACACACATGCACACGCACATACTCAAGGTTCAGTTTTGAGTTTTCAGCTTCAAGAGCCATCAAGGAGGGTGCCTGGGTGGCTTAGTGGGTTAAAGCCTCTGCCTTCAGGTCATGATTCCAGGGTCCTGGGATTGAGCCCCGCATCACTCTCTCTGCTCAGCAGGGAGCCTGCTTCCTCCTCTCTCTCTCTCTGCCTGCCTCTCTGCCTACTTGTCATCTCTGTCAAATAAATAAATAAATCTTTAAAAAAAAAAAAAAAAGAGCCATCAACGGAAAAATGGAGCCTTTGCCTGTAC